TAACAGCTCTAGTGCATACACTGTTATAACAATGAGCATCCGAGGACTGCCGATACCATCCAACTGCTAACAAGGTAAGCTGAAGGAACCAAGACAGCACAGCCGGTATGCACCAAGAATAAGGTGACAACAGGAACAGCAGGGAAATGAGAACACCACAAAGAAGCTTAAAGAGAAAATAAATTAGACTCTACAAACACACGCACAAAGTTCTGGAGTAAAAACAAACTGAGCAGATGAGGAGAGAGCTAATACATCAGTGAGCTGGGAAATCAAGCCTAGGAAGCCTGGGAAAACAAAGCAGAAGAGGGGAAGGCTCGAACAGAAGAAAAAAGAAAGGACATTAAACACACAGGTTAGAATCTCAGTTGAGGGCAGTTTTCCCGGAAAGGTGAAGTATTTAGAAAAACATTACTCAGGGAGATAATCAGGCAGACTATCCTCAGAACGGAAGGTGAACAGATATACTGAGAGCTACATGTATCAGTGAGAACCTGTGTCAAGTCAATGAAAAATAAAACAAGACCAAACAACTGAAAAATAACCAAGTCAACCTTCAGAACAGTCCTAAGAGTTATCAGAGAAACAGCTGCTTACAGGGAGTGTATCTAAAACATCATGTCTCATTAGCAACACCGAAGGCAGATGGCAGAGCAGAATCGCCACAGTACCGTGGGAAATAAACAAGTGAGCACGTAAACAAACACTTCAAATGTATACTTCCTCATGGTATAACAAGTTTTTTGTTTTTTTGAAAGATGTAGACAGACAGGCGGACAGAGAACCTAAAATGGGGTCGGTCAGGAGGTGGGGAGGAGAAAATCATGATACAATACATTTATGAAAATTTTAATTAAAAGTCAATTAATGAAAAAAGCAGAAAAAAGAATGGCTTACTGGCTCAGGGAATACCACAGAAGAGGCAGTGGAAAGAACGGAAAGAGTCAGAGGATGGGGAAAGAGCTGTGAAATCTGTCTTCACAACAGCAGCTCTCAACCCGTGTGTTACAGTACCTTTGGGGGTCAAATGATCCTTTCACCGGGGTGGCCTAAGACCACCGGAAAACACAGATATTTTCATTGTGATTCATAACAGTAGCAACACTACAGCGATGAAGTAGCAATGAAAATAATGTTATGGTTGGGGGTCACCACAACCTGAGGAACTATATTAAAGGGCCGCAGCATTAGAAAGGTTGAGCACCACTGTCCTAGATGATGTGGCTGCAGAATTCACGAACTCACAGTCACTATGGTTACCTGTGAAAGACCTTTATAAAATCAAGCCAGCTACAAATGAAGTACTTATCTCCAGGCCCTACCCCATAGTGAGGAGCTACTGGTAATGTAGTTGCTGCTGGTGAAGGGCGACTCATTCTTCATTGAGGATATATGGCTACTGATAGGTTTCCCATGTTCCACTAGAGGGCCCCACACTCATGCATATACGGGCAAACACTAGCAGGACTTGGGTCATTAAAAAAAAAAAAGACAAAGGGGTGTGTGTGTGTGTGTATGTGTGTGTGTTAGGGAGATTTAGGGGAAATAGAGGGGTAATGGGGGATAGATACAGTATTTTATTGTATACATGAATAAAATTCTGAGAAATAAAACTTTTTTTTAAATCAAAGACTTGTTTATAGCCATGACAGAACAATGTGGTTAAATCTACACTAAAAAAATTTTTTTAAAGTTTCAGTAAAATACAAGAAAACATAGTTTTCAAATACTGGATAACAGGCAGCATGGGGTAGATCCTTGTGAGACGGGGAGCAAGGGAGGTAAGCCCGAGCCCAATAATTGCCCTGTTCGTGTCTGGCCTGAGCTTCTAGGCAGCAGCACAAGAGAGGAAACCCGAGCAGAGCTGGACGGTCCCTCCTAGCTGAGGAGACATTATCTGGAGACCAGCAAGCTAAAGGCTACTGGAATTTGCAGTTAGACAGCAGAGAAGAGAAACCTGTACAGGGAGCGCTGAGAAGATGGAGAGTTCTTCAGAGTCTCTCACTGAGGAGCCACCAGCTAATAATGCCAGCAGCTTAATCAGAACGCAGATGCTTCATGTTTCCAGCAGCCATTAGAAAGTCCTTGGAAGCAGTAAGGCATGTACCCAGCAGAGGTACTGCCAGGCTCCTGCACAGCACAGGGCAAGTTAGCATGGGGGAAAACACTGTTCCTTACAGCCTCGGGAACCTTGAGAGCCAGCCTTCAGTGACTCAAATTACTCCTAAATAATTAAATAATCCCCCAAATGTTTAAAGACTAGAAAAGACTTGAAGATAAAGTACACAGTACTTGACATGTTATTACAAATTATTAGGCATATTAAAAATAGGAAAAGATTTTTCAAATAAGAAAACCTTAATCAACTGAGACTCAGAAATAGCAGAGAAGACAGAATTCGTAGATGACAAAATTAAAACAGCTATTATAGTGACATTCTATATTTTCAAGGTAGAAACAGTGCTTATAAAGACATAAACTAAAACTATAAAAACAAGTCAATATTAAGAGATTTTTAAAAATACAGTATGTCAACTGAGGTAGAGCACAGAAGTACAGCAATAGCCTATATACAAGAAGCCCTGGGTTTATCTCTAGCAATGCAAAAATAGGAGATGAAAAGTATCAGGTCTGGATGAGATTAGCAGCAGAATACACAGCAGAAGATTAATGTCCTCCAGGACACGACACAGCAATAGAAACCACCCAGAATCAAACACAGAGAAAAAGAAAGAGAGCATCAGTGCATGGGAGGAAGTCACAAGCAGTCTAATATGCAAACTATATTCTAAAAAACGGGAAGAATTTTGTTTTGAAGAAACAGTGGCTGAAAATTTGAACCTACACACCCAGGAAACGAATGAACAGGAAGAAAACTCAGGAGTTATCTAATAATCAAATTGCTTCTAGGCACAAAGAAAGCAGCTTCCCTGAGTCAAAGAGGAAAAGGCATATAATACACGTGAGAAAAGATAAAGATAGCTTCTTGTCAGAAATCGGGCATGGCAGAAGATACACAGCTCCCAATCTCTAGAACACCCCAGCAAAGATGTCTGTCAGAAACAAAGGCAAACTCAGGACGGAGGAGACAGCTCAATCGTCACAGCACATGCCACGCAGGCAAGAGAACCAGTTTGACTCCTACATTCCCAGTCAATGGCAGGTGGGCGTGGCAGCCTGCCTGGAAAGGCACCCTGGGAATGGAGACTGCCTGGAGCAAGCTTGCTGCCAAGACTAGACATACTGGTAAGCTCTGGGTTTGACTGAGATCCTGCCTCAAAGAATAAAGCAGAAGAGTTATCAAAGAAGATGCCTGATAACTTCAGCCCCCACATACACCCAGACACACATGTGCCCCCATACCCACGTGAATACATCATACATACATATACATGAAAAGACAAAAAATTAGGCAAAATGTTTTCTCAGACCTACAAATGCAGGTTAAAATCACCATAAATTATTGCTAAAGTGTAAGGAAAAAATAAAGGCATTTTCTCAACAAATTTTGCAAAGTGTCTTTTTAAACAAAATACAAGAGGAAATTCTCTAACATTAAGCAAAATAAACTGGTGATAGTCAGAGGATTAAGAAAAAACAGTAAGGGAAAAAGTCATTAAATCTTGATAGTTCTAGTAATTACCACTTTTTAAGATTCTTTAAATTTTATTTTAAATTATGAGTATGTGTATCTGTCTGTCTGTGTATGTACAAGTGAACGCAGGCACTCAAGAGGCCAGAAGAGGGTATTCCCCTGGATCCCCAGGTAGTTGTAAGCCACTTGATGTGGGTGCTGAGAATCTAACTCAGAGCCTCCGCAGGAGCAGCAAGCACTCTTAACTGCGGAGCCATCTCCAGTTCCAGTAACTATTTTAAATAATAATCTGCAACCAGAGCCAGGAATGCTGGTGCATACCTATAATCCCAGCACTCAGCTGGGCATGAGGATCTTATATTTTTGGTGGTGAGCCTAGCCTTTAATGGCTGAGCTATCCCTCCAGCCCGGGCATGAGGATCCTGAGTTAGAGGCCAGCCTAGATACAGCAGTTTAAAAGCCCTTAAAAAAAAAAGCAATCAAAATTATTTCAGATGCTATTAATAGGGAGAAGGCAAGAAATTATCTTTTCCCATCTAGAGAAAGGTCACAAATACAGATTCATTCCAGATATTAAGAAAGTAATTGGAGAATGTGAGTTTAAAACATAAATAGTGGCCAATTAAACCTGTAACTATTATTTTATAATATAACCTCAAAGGAAAACTTACGTTGAATAACTTAATAAACTTGCAAAGTTACCAATTATGAGCCTTTAATACATGTGTGATAAGTCTAACAAAATAGCTTGAAACATATCCTGCATGAACAGGAGGCTCCATGGGGAGATGAACAGACAGAAGCAATCCTCATTTGCTTTATGAGCACAAGATCAAAAGACGTTTGCGGCACACTACAACTAAGAACTATGGAGAATTTCAGCTACTTAGATGATTACCACAGAACTTAATATCTTCTTAGATAAATGACTTAACTTTGTAATTGACTTAACTGGATGTTTTAAAGTAGTTTTATTTCTAATATGCTTTTCAACAAATACAGTTTTATATATCTGCACTGAAATGCTTATTTCTCTTTTTTTCCTTCTAAAATTCTTTGCTACTTAAAAGTATTTAAAACAAAAAATGTGTGAGGAAAAAAATCTAGCAATTTAAGAACTTCTAATATGAATACCTACCTATTTCCACCCTTTCTAAAGAACAAAATGTAAAATAATGATGTAATTTCACCTCTGTCATAAAAGATACCAATAAAAGATATCAGAGGACAGGTTAATAAACACGATATATGAAAACATAATCTGTACATTATTCTGAACACCTTCAATCTCTTTTACTATAAATAGACGGCTACATCATAATTCTTTTTACTTACACTTACACACATTCCAGGCCTTAACTTTGAATACTGATATGTTCAAAATCTCAAGAAAAAAATACCATACCACATGTCCTTCAGCTCGGGCTTTATTCTGCATAGCTTCCCGTTTCCGCTGGAGGAATTCTTCCACTTGCTTAGCTCTCTCTACAGCGAGCTGTCCTTTTTGCCTATTTTGGACAAATCACAGAGTCAGCCATTTTGAGCATTAAATTCCAAATTAAAATTATACTTATTATTTTCTTTTTTTCCTTGTAGAACATGAAAGCAGAAACAAAATAAACACTTTCTCTGTAAAGAGGAGATGTGTTGTGTGTGTGTGTGTGTGTGTGTGTGTGTGTGTGTGTGTGTGTGTGTGTGTGTATTGGTCTCTGTTGTTTTAATCACATTATTTACTATTTTTAAATAAGTAAAATCTTAACTACTTCAAAATCTTGACAAGACTCATTTTATATTTATATGATGCACTTTATTTACAGTAAAATGGATGTTAGGAAAAAAGTAATAGCAGTTATTGGCTTTACTCTTTCTCATTTTAATATTTTGGCATCTTTTGCTGACAATTATGAAAGAATGTAAATATGCTGAGTGTAGACAGCAAATTAAAAGTGATAAACATGTACCTAACATCTACTACATGTCAGTTATCGTGATAAATATGGTAGGCAGGAACAAATACACAAGCAAATAAGCCAGCCCCAGCAGTCAGGAAACTGACAGCACACCATCAAGTGTGGTTACATTTGGAGAAGAGTAAGAAGACGGCGAGCAAGTTACTGTCTGGGTCCACTTAGACCCTGGCTCGCTCGTACGGCACATCAACTTCCTGCAGCTTTTTTTTTTTCTTTTTGAAAATAACTAAGTTATATTCTGAAAAAAAAAAGTCATGAAATAATGACTGTTTCCCAATAACATTTTTAAATGTCCAACTTTTGTTCTACAAATAATCATTTCTTCAACTTTTTAAAAGCAACAACTGAAACATAAAAATATTTTAAATAAGAAATTTAGCTGTAAAAACTTAAAATCTGGTGCTGGAGAGATGGCTCAGAGGTTAAGAGCACTTGCTACTTTTATAGAAGACCTAAGTTCCATTCCCAGCACCCATGTGAGATGGCTCAAAAGCACCAGTAATTCCAACTCCAGGGAATCTAACACCCCTGGCTTCTACGAGCACCCACACTTATGCATAAACACACTTAAAAACAAATCTTTGAAAAGAAAAATCTAAAATTTACTGTATTATATCCCCATGAATGATAATAGTCTAAAGTCCTTTACCTTACATATTATTTAAAAGAAATTCTTTAGAACTTCCATTACAGGAATTTTCTAGGATTAGTTAATATCTGTCACTGGTTTAAGAGCCAATTAACTATGATGTTCAGTTATTCCAGATGGTTACTGTAGTTCCACATGACATTCCTGAAACCCAAGCACTGCTGGCTGGAGTAGGTTTGTAATAACGAGAGATTAGTTCATACCTCTGAAGTGCACATATGCTATCCTCTCGCAGACATACTATAACACACTATAAAACTGAGATCAATTACAGGCATCTGGTCTGAATTCAGCATGCCTCTGCATATATCTAGGTAAGCCGGCAACCTGCTCTGCTACTTCCCTGTTTACGTAAGTCTGAGCTCAGGGAGGGTAGATAGAGTACCAAGCATCATGCTCAGACATGTCATCTGAAATGGATGGCTACTTGGGAAGGTTCCTTTTGATGGTCCTGGAAGCATACACCACCACCTGCCTCCAATCTCTCTGCTCTGCATCATGATCGTACTGACTTCAACCTTCATAGAAGTAAAACATGTTTAATTTGCCATTCCAAAACAAGATCTGTGCAGTGTTTGCTAGCATAACACGCCAACTAGCATACACTATTAGAATTATTGCACAGTACCTCACAAAAAACCATGACCATATGTATAGCAGCCTTGATTATGCATACATAATCACACTGCTTATGTATACATGATACTATCTGCTTAACATAGCTTCACTCAACAGCTATTTCCTTAGTTGGTTTAATTAAGCTGGTTTATATGACTGGTTGCTTTCAAATACACACTTAAAATCTTTAATGATTATTTAAACATGATTTCTCTTTTCTTCTGACTTAATAAACAAAGAATTATTTAGTATCAACTATTTGTCATAATATACCAACCTCTGAAGATGTAAAGATGACTGTACTGGCTACTTTTATGTCAACTTGATACAAGACAGAATCAACACAGAGGAGGGAGTTTCAACTGAGAAAATGCCTCCATAAGATCAGGTTGGAAGGCATTTTCTAATTAGTGATTGATGAGGGAGGGCCCAACCCACTGTGGGTGGTGCCATCCCTGGACAGGTGGTCCTGGGGTCTGTAAGAAAGCAGACTGAGCAAGTCATGGGGATAAAGCAAGTAAGCAGCATCCTCCGTGGCCTCTGCATCAGCTCCTGCCTCCAGGTTCCTGCCCTGCCTTCCTTTGATGATGAACTGTGTGTGATGTGGAAGTGTAAGATGAACAAACCCTTTCCTCCCCAAGTTGCTTTGGTCATGGTGTTCATCACAGCAACGGTTACCCTAACTACAACAATGACTAAAACAGAGTTCCAGGAAACAAAGTTTAACTGATAAAAATCAACCAGAGTTGAGTAATTCTGTGACTTATGTTAAAAACCTAGACACCACACTTATTTTCTACACATATTACCTTTTTCTACTTCACATATGCCCTGAATAATCTATAATACACATTCTTATGTATTGGAGCTCAGATCCTTATTTTTGCCATTCTTTTAAGTAGTAAATCTGCTAAACTGTGGACACAAACTATCTATTGTAGAAGGCTCACGGGGATAAGGAGAAAATAATTTACTTATTATTCATTCTCTTCATTAAACTCTACTAAAAATTCAGATGAAATGGCCAGGCATGGTGGCGCATGCCTTTAAACCCAGCACTCAGGAAGCAGAGGCAGGCCTATTTCTGTGAGTTCAAGAACAGCCTGATTTACATAGTAAGTTTCAAGACAGCCAGGGTTACGTAGAGACCCCTGTGTGGTGGTCTGAATGAAAATGGCCCCCATAGGCTCATAGAGAGTGGCACTGTTTGAAAGGATTAGGACATATAGCCTTGGAGGAAGTGTGTCACTGGGGTGGGCTTTGAGGTTTCAGAAGTCCAAACCAGGCCCAGTGGCTCTCTCTCTTTCTGCTGCCTGTGGATCAAGATGTAGAACTCTCAGTTCCTTCTCCAGCACCAGGTCTGCTGGCATGCTGCCATGCTTCCTACCATGATAATAATGGACTAAACCTCTGAAACTATAATCCAGCCCCAATTCAATGTTTTCCTTTCTAAGAGTTGGCATGGTCATGGTGTCTCTTTATAGCAATGGAACACTGACTAAGACACTCTGTCTCAAAAAAAAAAAAAAAAAAGCAAACATACTGTACAACACTTAGTATCAGGAAAGCATTGTCCTACATTAACAACAAAAGAACTATACATGTACAACTCAGAGATATATAATAGGAAACTAGAGACTAGGATAACAACATACAAAGATGTTAAAATGGGCTAAGAATTATGTTAGAACAGGAATAAGGACGTCAACACAGATATGGTATTGACCGGGAAGGAGAACAATTGTGGTTTTCTTTCATTGGGAAACAGTTATTCTAAGACAAACCTGTTAATTCCCTCAGCAAAAGGGGCAGGTAATTTTCTTTCCTTTTCTTTTTGTAAATACATGAAGTAGCAGTAAGATATTGGTGGGAACACCATATATTATATTCATGACTCAAATTTATTACTAAAGATGACTTTAAATTTTTTGAAGGATAACTACAAATACTTCAAGAGGTGAAAAGCCCCATAAAAATAGGAAATAGTCTAGGTAACAAAGAAAGTACAAGAAAAATGATCCACTGTTTCCAGACAGAACAGTCCAGTGACAGAAAGCTAATAGGGATGAGAAAACAAGAGTATTCACTAAGTTTCCTTTCTATTTTAGGATACCTAGTGGAATGGAACACAGAGGAGAGGATGTGGAAAAGCGAAGCAGTAGAAAAACACAAATGTGAAGAGGCGCCAAATCATTTCTTAAAATGTAGCTGTACACTGCTTGAGGTCCCAATAGTTAAGAGGCTAATAGCTGTGCCATTAAGACATAGATGCAAGAACAGTCAGACTAGCCAATGTTACTGGTAAGGAAGGCAGAGAAAAATATCATAAAGAAAGCATAAGCAAATAGGAAGAATTCAGTTTCAACTCTGTTTTCACTAATATATGTTATGTAACTTTTAACAACTGAATTATGTGTTGCCTCGAATTCTTGATCTGTAAAATAGGGAGAGTACTACTATCTGTTTCACAGTGTTGGTGAAGACTGAATTACTAATATAGTCAACCGTTATCGATAGTTCATGTCCTACTGAATGAATGAATGCTGAGCCACTGATCCTAGGGAAAATACAGAGTTAAATTCCTGCAGGTCTGTCACATTTGTCAACAGAATAATTTATAACTCTGTTTCTGTGTTCCTGTTTAAAGGAAACTGCTTACTATATAAAGTTAGTTCATTACAATGTAACTCAGGAGCAAGCGTCCCTATAACCAAAATAGGAATGAAGTTTATCTAACATGTATTTACCAACTGAGCTTTCTCTCCAGCCCTCAAAAGTATGATCTACAGCCTAAGGAAGTGGTTCTCAACCTGTGGGTGGAAACCCCTTGGAGGGTCGACCAATTCTTTCATGGGGGTCATATATCAGATATCCTGCATACCAGATATTTACATTATGATTCATAACAGTAGCAAAATTACAGTTATGAAGTAGTAGCAAAAACAATTTCATGGTTGGGGGTCACCACAACATGTGGAACTATATTAAAGGGTTGTAGCATTAGGCAGGTTGAGAACCACTGGTCTAAGATGATACAATCCTACTTTTTTCACAGTATACTATTCAAAGGCTGGGGTTTAGGCTAATAATTGTTTTTAAAAAGTCAGCTTCTATGACAAAATTATCCTCAATTAGGTTTCACATTTAATTTTTATTTTCTATTTTACAGAACTAGTAAGTTAGGCAACCTATACCAAGGCCACAATAATAACTAGGTTCTAGGTGCTCAAAGTTGACAGAGGCAAAGGTATTCAAGGTAAGAGAAGAAGGG